GCACGCCGTCTCCCTTGGAGGCACCTTTTGGATGGGAGCTCTCCGGGACCCGGCTGCCTCCCTGGCTTCCCAGAAGTTAGCTGAGAAAGTTTTCTCCGCTTCCAACCTAAATTGGCCCTTCCTTCCTGGAGCTCTGCTTTGATCCGGGCATTTGAATCTCAATGCAAAAACTCAGTGTTTCGGGTGGTTTTTGCATGGCAGCAAAGCGCTGCGGGCTTTAACCCCTGCCCGGCCGTGCTGCAGCGGGCTCCCTGTGTGCCTGTCAGTGTTCCCAAACCACCTTTGGTTTTACAGCATCTCCTCTGGGGCTGATGTCCCAAAAACTGCCCTTTTTGTCTCCATCCTGCTGGGGCTGTAGGGAGGGTGGTCGGTCTCTGAACACAGCTGACCAGGGACGTTCATCCTGTTGTATGTGGTGGCTGCGGCTGCACCGCGTGTGCCTCACCTACCCTGCGTCTGCCACTGCAATCCTGCAGTGCGTTACCTCTCCAGGATGGCCGGGTTAGCAGCTGGCTGCCAAACAATCAGAATCTGATGCTGTGTTTGTAGGGCTGCCCCAAACCTTCAGCGATGTAAGGATGTGAGGAACCAAGGTCTTTAGAAAAGGCCCAAAGCTTTTGCTCCAAGCTCTGCCAGGCTGCTGCAGTCACCTGCAGGTTCTGTTTTTTTTTTTTTGGATTTTTTTTTTTTGAAAGTTTTTTTTTCTGGACTCTTTGCCATTTATAATTTGGGTCTAGGTGAGATCTTGAGGGTTACCTGGGCTCCCCCACAACTCGGAGAGCCCCTGCATGTGGGCAGCCTGGGGAGCTGCTCGGCCAGGCTGTTGGTGCTGGGGGCAAGCCCCTCGCAGGGACGATGCCAAAACGTCAGCGTTTCTCCAGGATTCATTGCTTTGTGAGGGGAGGGAGGAGAAAAACCAAGCCAGGAGCACCCTGGCCACACATCCCATTTATTTAGCTGCGGGATGGGGCTGTGGCAGTGCCGGGACTGCAGATGAGGAGGCAGAGCAGGCGCCGCGCATCGGGAATAGAGGTGGTTGGTTCAAAGCCGTGGGGTTCAGAGATGTTCCAGACTCCTGCAGGGCCCAAGACAAATGTTGAAAGCCAGAATTCCCAGAGGGTCTTTCTGTTTTCTTTTTAAAAATAATAATAATAAAAAAATCTACCTGTCAAATCACATCGAGTGAAGCGCTGAATTAAGGAAGACAAGACTTAATGGGCTTTCTTCCCTAAAAATAGATCCTCTCGTGAAAGAGATGAAGGGCATTGCCCAGGGAGGTCAGCCGAAATTGCCTGAAATTACGCTATCACCTAGATGTGGTGTCCAAAATTAGCCTCCTCTCTGGCTGCGTGGGTTCAGTGCTCCCTGAAGATTAAACGCAGCACAAAATTCATTTAATCTAAAGAGAGTCTAAGCCATACGGCATGCCATAGTTTAAATGTCAGAAAAACTGAGCCCGGGACTCTCTGTGATGATTAGTAACATGCTAACGAAGCCACGGGGGAAGGAGCGAACGGGGGCTGTGTGAGGAGGCTGGGCAGGGCCGGGGCAGGAATCGAGGATGTTGCTGGGAATAATTGAAAGGGCCTGAACCAGGGCAGCTTTCCCTATCCAGAACCAGTTCTGATCTTTTTACAGAAGGGGAAGGAAGATGATTTGCTTTAAATAATCCTCCAGCCTCCTCTGTGTGGGTGTTTTCTGGACTCCGTGATTAATAGAGAGCACGTTGGAAAGCGATGGGATAGGAACCTCATTTAGAGCCCAAGCGTTCCTTACTTTTTTTCCTTTTTAATTAATCTGAGGTTGCTCCTGGAGCGGAGCAGTTGGAGGAAGGTGCTTGAGGAACACGAGGTTAATGGAAGGTGGAAGCAGAAGGGAGCAACCATTGGCAATACGGTGAGCGGTGTGAAGCAGCAGAGGTGCCAGCCTGGCCGGTGCATGGCTGCCTCCTGGTTTCAGAGGGAATAAACTTCCCTCGATGGGGGGGAAAAAACCTCAGGGAGCCCCGAGAAATGCTGGGGGGCAGCAGCACGGAGACGCTGCAGGACCAGGGCACCTGCGAGGAGGAAGGAGGAGGGGGTTTCATGCCTATAGTCTACCCTTATGGTCACGTCTTTGCTTTATGGTCTGAGAAACTGGTGTGCAGGAAAGCACTGGAAGGCTACAGAGAGGGCCGATGTGCTTGGGCTGCTATTAATTGTGTCGGGCAAGGGAGAGGAAACTCCCGGCCCCTCTGGTGGTGGCGTGGCACAGGACTGGGGGACGATGGCAAACGCGGGGCAGAGCAGGGTGAGTCAGTGCCCTTAGTCACACCGTCACGGCCTCCTGCTTTCACGCCAAAAGCCAGGAATTGAGGAATCAGACAGGACTCGTGGCTTGAGGGGGTTGGCGGATTTTTATTTGTAATATCGGGGGCAGCTTCGTGCGTTTTTGGACGCTGACTCAGAAGTTTTGCCGCCTTTGAGGCAGACGTCAGACATTCAGGCTAGAGGCAGGGGAGCAAAATATGTCATGCATCGGCTTTGACCTACCTGCCAGCGGGGGCTGAGCCTGCTTTGTGTCCCGGAGCAGTCTGGTTGCTGCTGGAGGAAGGGCAGTGCCCGTGCTTGGGGTACTCAGGATGATGGCGAGGTGAGATGTCCCTGCAGCCTCCTGCCTGCCCACAACCCAAACCCAGCCCCCACTGCCACCACTTCAGGCTCCATTTGGGATCGAGCAAGACCATTGCACTTCTTCACACCTCCCCAGCAAACTCAAGCTGTGAAGGCACTTGGGAAAGTGTATTTTTTTTCCCCCAAAAAAAGCCTCCAGGCAATGCATGCCCGTAACAGCCCCCCAGCCTGCTGCTCGCTCCGGGCTCCACCCGGCCCAAACGCTCCGGAGGACTGTTACAGGTCCGTCGACACGTTTTAATTGTGTTTTTGTTGGACCATGACCCAGCCTGCAGAGCAGAACCACGGCTTTGAAGCTCTCTGCCCGGCGCGGCTGCCGCTTGCCCCGTCCACGCCGCCAATTACGCACCGCGCTGCAGCCCAAAGCGGGCAGCTCCCCGACCTCCGCGGGTGCTGTGGGGCCTTAATGAATGTTTCCAGCAGGCTTTGAAGATGAAAAATGCTCTAAGTGTTAAGTATTAGCGTGAGTTAGGCATACGGAGCAGTTAGGTCTCGCTCACGCATTCCTTCCTGCAGCGAGCCTTGCTCCGCGCTGCTTTTGCACAGCTCGGTGCTGGGCACGGTGCTGGGGGGTGAGGCAGTGCCTGAGCAGCATGGCTCCTTGCAGGGGGATGTTGGCTTGGAAATCTGGGCCCTGGGGTGCTGGGGGGGCTGTGCTCCCCCAGACAGACAGGTATCTTCCTTGTCTTTTAAGAAAAATCAAAGTTGTACTTTTAAAGTCGTAACCGTGCAATTTTCCCACGCTGCCATTCCAGCTAAATGCTGACAAGACAGAGCTGTAATCACCATCTTTACCCCGAGACAGGAGGAAAAACAAAATGTTTCTGAAATGCTGAAGGTAGCTGAACACTTTCAGAGTGTCACACATTAAGGTTGTGTCTAACGATCTCCATGTCCCACTTATAATTGAAACAGAAGAGAGTGTTCACTTTTCATTCATTTTTAAAAGACTATTCAAATACCCTTTCATCTCCGCTAAACAGCCTGCCATGTATTTGAAGCCATTTTATATTTTGTTTCTACAGACATCCAAAAAACAGAGGTGAGTATTTTGGAACATTGATAGAAAGATGCAAAGGCTTGTGAGGCACTGAATGGCTTCAAGCTGCCTCAAACGCATTTATCTTCCCAAGAAGAATTAGGCACAGTGTGATTCATTTTAATAGCAGAAGAAAAATAATACTACGATGTAGTGCTAAGTTCCCAACCTTTGATGGTAGACTAAAAAAAGAGAGAGAAAAAAAAAATCTTTCTTCCCTTATGTTGTTGAAGTCTCCCTACACCCATCCGTTATGTCCAGCTTATCAATTAAGATGAACCCCATGAACTTCAGATGGTTTTTAAAACAAGGCACCATCCATTTAAATGTGTAAAACTGCCTGCAGGCTCCCTTTAAGTGCGGGATTCAGTCCCGAGCTCTGTGTACTCGGTGTGAAGTTGAGCCCTTTGATAGAAGTTTTACTGATGTTTTAAATGAAGTCTTCTCAAACACACAAAATAACCCAGATAATTTAAAACCTCACAGAAAAAATAGGGTGGAGGGAAAAGAAAAAAAAGGTAGTTGGTGCCATTGGTCTAGCAGAAGAAAAGAGGCTGGCTTTGGTTACCAACAGGACAGACCAAAAGCTTTTCCACAATTGCTTTCCCAGGGTTACTTGCTTGAGACGGGGAAGGTCTGAGCGACAGCTGGGAGACAAATCCAGCCCTGGTATGGGCAGCTTCCCTCAGGAACAAATTAAGGTCGTTCAGCTATAAAATAGGTTTTGTGCCACCAATACCAGCGCGAGGACGGGCACGCGGTCAGCAGCTCCCGGCCTTGCTCGCCCCTCAGCTCCCTCCCAAAGGCAGGCGGGCGAGCCAAGAGGTGGGGGTGGCTCGGGCAGGTGCTGCGGGTGGCTGATGGAGACGAGCTGGAAGCCAGGAGCACCTGGTAGGGACGTGCCCACCCTCCATCACCTCACCACGAAGCCCACGATGTGCCATTATGCGCTACCCAGAGAGAGCCAGAATTAGGAGTCTGAGAAATCCCTCCTGGGCTTCAGCATCCCAAGAGAAAATCCTCCTCCTCTATTCTGCCTTTCTCTCCCCATCAGGCAGGTTTGCAGGCCATGCCAAATTTGTGCCCGAGTCACCTGAAGGACCTGTGCGTGATTTAATCACTGCACTCGAGTCCAGCCCAAGGCTTTGCCTTACCGACTGGAGCTGCTCCTGCCAAGGAGAGGAGGGAATGAAGGCAGGGCAGAGCTCAGCTCTGTTTTCAGCTGCCACCACACATGAGAAGAAACCTTTTGAGACATCAGGGGGTGGAAAGAAAGAAGTCAGACAATATTAATTTGAAAAATATAAAATTTTAATAAAGGCTACATCTCTTAATTACAATAATTATTGTACCAAGTAATTTTTTTTTTTAAATGAAACTCTTTATAATGCATAATTTACAGTATAAGTAGAACAAAATGCCATGGCAAAAGTCATGAGTACAGGACTTGTAATAAAAGGCATAAAATATATTTATACATAAACCCCTTAAACAAACAAGGGAAAGCTTGAACCCTGAATATAGGGCGACGCATGGCCTAGTAACACCATGCAGGCACAGGTACTGTACTGATTAAATTTTAACAACACTAGAGATAGTGTATTAATATTTCCACCATACATTTTCTACAATATATACAGACTTACACGAAGTAGCAATGGCAAACAGAATGCACAGATTAACTTAATCAACACAAAACCCAACTGTAGAAATGCAAGGGCTTCCTCGGGAAAGGGTCGCGCTGTCCTAACACCCACGCACACGCACGCACACGTGAAGCTTCCCAAAGGGCTGCAGAGAGCCTGGGCTAACACCTCCCATTGGCATCAATGGGTGTCGTGAGGGTAAGGCAAAAAAAAAAAAAAAAAACGCAAAAAACCACCACCAAAAACCACCACACAACGAATCACACGCTCCACAACGATCTGAAAATACTCCTCGTCATAGTTACATGGCGTTTAAATAGAAGTTGTGCTAACATTGAAGTAGAGTGGCTAAGAAATTAGCTAGCTGTGTGGGATACATGCAGGGTTTTTAACCTGGCTTTTGCAATGTGTCCTTTTGGGGTGTTACGTCTGGAAATGGGAACTGGATGGCTCCTTCTACAGCTCTTCCACACTTGGGTTTTGCTCTAGCTCACCTCGACTGAGACAGGCGCTGGACACCACACGGCCCCCTCAACACTGACAGCAGCAAAGCAAAAACCTCACACCACAGAAATCCATGGACGAAATAGCAAGTTGGTGGTGTTATATTGCATCTAACGTATTTCATGCTTAAGACCTTTATTTCAAATTAGAGCAGCATAGATTAAAATGCACCGGTCTCTAGATGGATGGTAGGACAGTATTTTTATTTCTTTTTTATTATTATTATTATTATTCCTTTAGAAAAGTTTTATCTTCACTTGGAGAAATATTGGGCACAACATCGGTCCTTCCCTCCTCCCCCTTCAAAAAAAAAGTCGTGAATGCGCTCCTGGCCATACTCCTGAATTCTAGATAGTGGGAACAATATAAAAAAATAAAATAATCCTTCCTCCCATCACCCCACTTCCCAGCCCCTCTCTTCTCCATTGTTAAAGCAGCATATCCAAAAACTGGACTTAAGGGAAAACAGACTGTTCAATAAATATCAATAAGGATTACTGTTAAGGTAAGCTATACATAGTTTCTCTTAGTCCATAGATTTCAGATCCCCAGGAAATCATATATTATGTATGGAAGTCTCTCAAACACAGTCTGCATCTCCAATAGCCAACAGTGGTCATGTTTTTAATAAATAGTTCAGGGTTTTTATCATCTCAGTACCCAACTCATGAATAATAAATGCCATTTTTTTCCTCTAAGGCTAATTCAGCAAAGTCTTCAGAGACTTCACTTTTTTTTTCTTCATTGGTTCAAAACTTTCCTTCAGAGTTTTTTTTTTTTTCCTTGTCATCACTACTGTTGTGTGTCCAAAGACTTTTCTAGCTTAAATTTTCTTAAGAAACACAGATGCCATCAATCGATCCTTTCTACTTTCCCAAGAATCCTTCCTTCGTACATGGGCAGAATTGTTTCATCTTCCCAAATCTCTTCAAACACTGCACCACAGTCAAACTCGTCGCTTGCTTTTTTGAAGTAGTATCTGTGGTGAGGAGAATTAAAACACAGTTAAAAAAATCAAAAGGTAAAGTAAAGGATGCTTTGGCAGCTCTTTAAACCACAACATTTTCAATCTCTCCCTCCTAGGACACTCCTCCAGCTCCCAGCGTGGCCAGGAAAACCTCAGGGCAGGTCAGGTCCAGCAACATGAAAGCGTCCCTGGCTCTGCAGGGATGTGAGTGGGGACGGCGATGGGATGGAGGGAGCGAGGCTGAGCATGCTCCTCTGCAGTGACAGCAGCTTCTACAGCACCGTGAGTAAATTACATGCGTTGGCAGTGGGTATCCTTAGCAGTAAGGAAAATTAGAAAGTGCGGTGATTTCTGGTCAAATATCTTATTTAAAAAATAAATAAATACGATTTCAAAGCGAGGCATTCTTAAGGTTCCCCTCTCTCCCCACCTTCTTTCTTTCATGTGTTTTCTTGTTTCAAAGCCTAGGCCCAACATTAAAATTAGCAACTGTTATTAAAAGGAGAGGCTTTTTAGGCATACAGATGGATTAAAAGAAAGCCTGCCCAGCTTCCTGCAAAGCAGCAGCTGAAACTCTGTGGCACTGCTACAGAAAAACTGGGAGCTCCCCCATCAGAAACAACAAAGTGCCTAATTCACATATCCATTTTAAATGACAGAAACTACTGTATTTGTTTTCTGATGCTTCCTAGCGGTCACATGCAAAGAGCAACCCCAATCTAGCTTGCAAGACGTGACACCAGAAGGTCAAGTAGCAGTGTCCTGCATTCCTTCTCTTTTGCTTTGGGTCGTTAGATCATGAAGCCAATGCTCCCAGAGACAAAAAACACCCCCCACCCCTCCTGTGTCAAACAGTAAGGACCCCTCTATTATCCTGAATTAGACCGTTCAGCTTCTTGATTAAAGGTTCCTTTTATCCCGTTTCTAGCTTTCTTCCTTCTAAGGCTGCTTAATTGCATATGCACAAATGAAGGGCTTCCATTCAGAGGGGTAGCATTTAGGGAGCCTGTCCGTCTGCCACCGCACACCTCCTCGGACATGCCTGCTCCCTTGCTCTCTTGGAAAAGTGCTTTCCCATCTGATCACCAGAAATGGAAAAACCTTCATCAGAATTACCAAAAAAAAAAAAAAAAAAAAATCACACACTTCCCACACCCCTCCCCTGGCGTTTCCAGACAACTGGGGTTAGCAGCTGTTTGCTAGGTGAAAGTTTTTCAAAAAAGCAGAGCAAATTAAGCTCACTTTTACTGGGAAAACTGAAGAAGCCAGGGCAGGCTGTTAGAATTTCGTTTTTAAGCAGGGAATGTTCTATTGCGCATTTTTAACATGCACAGTAAGGATGACTTTCATATCTATTTATTTTCAGGGCAAGTTAAAATTATTTTGGTAGGGGGATAAAAGCTGGCTTTTTGGTTACAGAGATTGAAGCAGCTACATTTAGTCAAGGTATGTTTAGGATTTATTTTTGTAAGGTCAGTCCAAGCTGAATTGACACATGTTGTGTCTTTAAAGGTTCAGCAAGGAAAACATCTCATTTAAGTTCCTCACAGCCTGCGCTCACTGAAGGCAATGGCACAACTCCCACCACCGTTAATGCTGCAGGTCAAGGCCACAATTCCCCAGGCCAGCGGGCTTGAAACAAAACCAAAAAAACAAGGAAAGTTTGAATGAATTACAAAGAACTTTCTCTTCCCTTTCCCCTTCTCCGCCCCTCTCCAGATAACAGCCGTTCTTCCCAATAACTTCCTCCACAAGCTGAAGTGCTGGCTGTGTTTACAAAAATTTTTATTTGAGAAAACACGCTATGACCTTTTACATAATTACAACCTTATTTCACAGAAAAAAAAGGGGAAAAAAAAAAGGAGAGGAGGCAAAGCAAAATCCTCCCCCACAACATCTTCAAACAAGTCGCTCTGCTCTTATTTGCTCAGAAATGGGCTTTCCATTGAAACATATTTTATGTGGCAAGCCTTGCTTTTCTTTTTTTTTTTTTTTTTGGACATCTGGCACCAATAGAGCCGAGCAGGCCTGGTGTTACAGCTCTGTTTTGAACCACTGCCATGTTAAGATTACCCGACACCACCCAGTTTTTTTGTGTGTGTGTGTTTGTTTTTTGTTAACGCCATCAGTATTAAATCACTGCTTAATTCCTTCTTTTTTTTTTTTTTGGGGGGTGGTGGGGGGGCTGGGGAAAGCAAAGCAGCAATTTTTTGTGGGGCTGCCCCATGGCCCAGCGGGCGAAGGCCTCGGCTTCGAGGAGGAGCAGTGACAGGGCCCGAGGTACCCGCCTCACAAACTGATTCAATCAATAAAGAATTTGGAGAGTCGAGCATTTATGCATGTCTTTGTGCATTAAATGAAAGGCAAAGGCTTCAAAGACATGCTTATTAAATGTGCCTTAAAAAGAAATCAATGCCAGATGTGACCAAAGCAGCCTAGTTAGTGCCTCCCCGTAACACACACGCTACTCTGGGCACTGCGGCCCTCTTCCCTGAAGGTCACCCGCAGTTTCACTCAAAGTCCAGCCAAAAGTCAAAGCTTAGATCAAAATGATTCCCTGGAGGTACACACATTTGTGTAATTAGTTTCACCTTGTGTCTGTGCAAGATAAAATACTGGGCACGTACCCAAGTTCCTTTTATAAATTTCAGTATTGTCTTTACCCAGGTGTAAAGGGGTGAGATCTAAGCAAAACATTGTTTCATCCTTGTCAGTCACTTAAAAACATTTTCTAAAGTAATTACAGTCTGACAAGGCACAAATAATTGCACCTGGAGGGGCTTTCAGGCCACAGAGGTTCTAGGATCCCTCTCCAGCACTCAGTCATCGCACAAAAATTGTCACAGAAAACAAACACACACAAAAAAAGATTATTTTTTTTAGGGGGAGGTGGTGTACAGAGGGGTACTACAGCCACAGAGAACAGAGCAGCAGCAAACCATGGTGAGGCTGAGCAAACTGGGCTGCAGCTGGGTTACGGGGCTGCATCCATGTCTGTAGTGAGAGGAAATGCACGGTGGGCAGTGCGAGACTGTAAAAGCTGAGAAGTGGTGCAAGGGTGCAAGGAACACCGGCACCTAGCCTGGAGGTTGTCCAGGTTGGGTGTACTTGCAGGTTGCTGCCATCTGATGGCAGCTGGGCGGGCTGCAAAGATGATTTGGGGGCAGGATTGGCAATATTTCAGCCCCCAGCCTCACTGGGCAGCATCCAGAGACAGCCCCCAGCTCAGCACCCCCCAGCCTGAGAGCTCCCCAGGGCGATTTCTGAGCTGCATAGGTAGAGTTTCCAAAGCTAAAGGGAAGCCAGCCATGGTGCACCAGCTGGAAAGTCCTCTTAACAAAACAAAATGACCATTTGGAGGTTAAATCCGAGGCTGCCAGTTACAGGGCAGGCTGCCTGGCTCTTTGAAGGAGTGCCAAATTCAGAGCAAATTCAAACCTTAAAGCTGGACCTTCACCCCCCCTGCACAGCCTGTACAAGAAGTGGCAGACAGATGATCCCACTAGCACCCAAATCCACTGGGAGATTACAGCAAAAAAACAGCCAACAAAGATACTGCCATGGGAACGGGAGCAAGGAAGGAGCAAACTGGCTAAACTGGGCCCTGGAAACCAGACACACAGGGTTCACTGGTGCTGTTTGAGGAAAAACCCAGTATCAATGGTGGATTTTTCCCCACAGGGCAGTGTTTTTTCCCCCTAACAAAGACAAAAGGCTTTTGAAGAGCTGAAACAAACTGGCTTGCACCTTGGCTACCTGTCTGCTCAGAAGCAGTATCCCAGCCTTCCACTTACTGGATTTACAGCAACACTATTCAAACAAACACCAGGACCTGTGGGACAGGGGTGGCCTCGTGCCCATTTTACAAACACACACAAAAAAAATAATACAGTAGCAACAGGAGGACAGAACCAGTATGAATGTTGACACCGCTGGTTTGTAAAGCGAACCCCACAACCCACCCCACTCTAGGGGCTCCAGGCCTTCCCTGCAAGGTGAGGCGTTCACCTGGTAGTCAGCTTTAGGACCAGAGCTGCAGCACAAGGCTTGGCAGCCTGCGTGTTTATGCAACTTGGAAAGAGGCAGGGGAGGGAGAAGGAGAGGAGGTGGCCCAGTAGGCAAGCTGCTGCTCAGGGAGCGCAGCCTGTCCCACTGCTCCATCTCCAAGCTGCTCTTGGTTTGAGTGGGAAGAGAATAAGAATAGAAAAGCTGCAGGCTCCAAAAGGTGATGTAAATGTGTTGCTGTGGGCAGATCTGCAAAAATATCTGCTGATTCTTTTGTCTTATTTCAGTACATGAAAGAACAAACAAATGAGAAAGATTCTTACCTATAATTTCCCTTTTTGCTCAGCTGCTCTTTAAAGTGCCCAAGTGTCAGGCTCTGGGCCTTTAACATTCTCCTGTAGGGAATTTCTTCTCCGCAAAAAAAATAGGTGACAACCAACTCACTAGACTGAGAGGTGTGAACAACCGGGAGTTTCTTTGGCTCTTTGTGACTGTAAAACAAAAACAACACACACAAAAACTCTATTTTTCCACTTGAGAACAAGCAGTTTCACTGCGCTCAGTCTCCACGTAATGCTGGTCAGAAATACAGTGGGTGTGACCTGAAAGTCAGATATTCCTGTACTCGAGGTGAATTTGTCATGCTGTGTTTGCACAGCACTTAGCCCTGTGGGATGCTGGGCTCTGACAGCAGCTCCTGGTTGCTTTGATGGTGGAAATATCAGCATCACAAAGCGCCCAGCCTCAGGGTGCATCTGAGCTGCAGAGACTCAGTCCCAGTTTGTGGAGGGGAGAACTGAGGTTAGGAACTTGCTGTAAAATCAGGACCAAGGTCCAGATGAGCGTGCATAGGGCTCACCATGGGCTAAGCACCTCCCAGGCCCAAGCACTGTACATGTCTGATTTTAGAAGATTCATTTAATCTGCCTTCACACAAAGCATCTGACAAGCTCCTTTCTCATGCACAAATGTACCTGCAACCAGCAACAGCTAACAGTAAAATTACTCCAAGACTATTTCACCTGAAGTACACAGGTGATCTTATTTTCACTCAGGAACAGTGAGGATAAAATTAACCGGATCTTGTCGTTTGAAATTAAGGAACCCTTCTTAAAGAATAATTAAAACAATATTACACAGCAAAATGGCAACGCTCTGGTGAATGCCATGCAGCCAAATCTACAACTGCTGCTGAGGCAATGTACACTTGGCATGTCAAAAGGTCACAAAGTGTTAGTCCGCAGTAATTTAGTCTTCCTAATTTGTTCTAAGTCTTTGTAGAGTGGCTTCAGAAAAAAAGCTGCTAGCAAAGACAGCTGGTGGACTTAAGGTCAACCAATTAAAAATGAAAGGCTCTAGTCAGGTGGCTCAGTCTGGACTTCAAACATTACTCATTGCTTAAGATGAAGAGGGTAAGAAAGAAAACTTTAATTATTTAGGCCATTTTAGACCTCTCTGTAGCAGATTTCTTGTTAAAAGAACCATCCTGTAATTAGACTAATCCAATCTTTGTCCACTTTACAGGAATGCCAGTTAAAAAGAGCCAGAGACAAGATTTGAAAATGTTTTGTTCTTTCTTTAAGAAGAATGTTTGAAAGACTAAAACTTCAGATATAAAAATTTCCCCTCTTTTCAAAGCACAATCTATTTAATGAAAATAAAATTATTATAATATATATATTTCCCAATCCTTTTACCCGTGTGCAATACTCACTCTTCTGTCGTTAGACTTGCATTGCAAAAAGGGGTGTTTCCCCCCTGAACAGCAGCTGAGTGGTTTCGATCCCTCTGCTGATTTGAGGTTGAACATCTGAAGTTGGGGGGGGGGGGGGACAAATGGGGGAGAGGAGACAAAAAAAAGAAAAAGATCTTTTTAAAAATTGTTGAAATACGATCTGCTTAATTGAAATCTCCTGTGGGTCGTTAAGTTCGCTCTTTGTATCAGCCCTCATATGTTGTAAACAATCAAAGGAAGAATTAAAAATGCTGTGGGCTAATGATCCTTCCATACCCAAATGAATGATAACCAGTCCAATTCTCCACTTGGTATGTAGCTGGAGTCCGGCCCAGAGGAAAAATGGGCAAATTACAGCCATCAAAAGAGTGGAAGTAATAGCCTAGGATTCAAACTATTTGTGCCGGGGTAGGGTGGGGTTGGAATAAGGAGGCTCATCCTTGGGGCTTGGCCAAGCTGTGCCGTCATGCATCCCCACGGTCCAGCCCCATTCCTGATCTGGACCTCTACCTACACCGCGAGGAAGGCACCGTCCACGCGCTCACACGCGCCTGCTGCAGCCTTACTAGCTCCCAGCCTCCGTTTGGGTGAAGAAGAGCACAACCAGCACCCAACAAATGCCCCTGGCTGACGCTCCTACCCTGGACAAACTCCCTACCGCTCCCCAAATCCCAGCACCAAACCCAGCTGGGGTCACCCCGTCCCTCCTGCCGCCGTTACCGTTGCTTCTGAGGCTTGGAGACTTCGGCGAGCCGGCGACACGCTTCCTCCAACTGGGCGAGGGTGTTGGGCGGCGTGAGCGGGGGCATGGTGGGGTCCTGGACGAAGGGGTGGGCGGGCTGCACCCCCCGCGGGTGGCTGCCGGTCCCCCAGGGGTGGTGGCGGCCGGGGCGCTCGCTGGGGGCCCCCTTGGCGAAGTCGGAGCTGTAGGCCTTCTTTGTGCTTTGTGTGCTTGGGGAGGGGAAGAAGTCGGGTTAGAAAAGCTGGAAAATATGACTTTAATAGCAGCTCCTATTCTGCTCGCTCCCTCTCAAAAGTCTGTCATAACATGAAAGGAGGTTTATTGCCAAAAACATGACATTTTTGTGGTTTTTCTGGTTCTGCGGAACAGCTTTTATATTAAACCGGAGGAGCAAAGAGTCTCATTTGTTTTTAGCGATTGTAAAAATAGACAGCCCATGTAATATATAAATATTTACCGGGAGCGATATTGCTGTAGACAGCTGCGTATTTACCTATGGGGCTTGTGCTTATTTTGTCTCTCACTCTCCAGCATCCACTGCCAGACGTTCTGCGCCCTGTCCGCCTCCCCGCCAGGTAGCTGCACCCCTCCGGGGCCGGGCAGCCCCCCGTCCCCAGCCGGCAGGGCGATGCTCTCCACTCCTCTACCCGGCCTCTTGGTCAGCGTGCCTGTCCTGCTGGAGGCGAGAAGGGGACACGAGCCCGTGGTTAGTCACCTGCTCTGCCCCACACACCCCAAGCAGCACCGACCGCAACCCACCCACCCAAGCGATCCCACTGCAGGAGGAGGGTGGGCTGCTGTCTTTTGGGTGGGTGGGATGGAGAAAGGCTCGCGGCTTACCCGAAGGGCTCCAGCGGAGGGAGAGGTGGGTCCGTGCCTTTCAGGTGGCCCTTGCACTTGGAGAAGCAGTAGTAGTCGCTGCCGGCTGGGCAGCAGCACTGCGCCCGCTGAGCCGCCTCCGCCTCGATCTGCTCCTTCGTCTTGGGTACGGCGTGGTGGTGGATGTAGTGGTGGTGGACGTGCTTGGTGGTCTGCTTGGTGATAAATCCCTTACCCAGGAGGGTGCAGGCGGCCGGCGAGGCCACGCCAGGCTGCAGTTTGCCTCCTGGCAGGCGATCGGGGGAGCGGGCGCGGGGGCTGTGCCGGCCCATGCCGGGGGACTGGCAGCCGGGGGTCTTCAGCACGCGGGAGAGGTGCTCATCCAGGATGGCCTGGGGGTCCTCCTCGTAGCTGCCAGACGGCAGGAGCGAGAGCGGGTGCTGCGGGTGCTGGGGGTTCGCCACCTCCCGACTGCTCTGCAGGCTGGCAGGGAGCTCCGAGCCCTCCTTCTCCTCGTCCTGGAGGTGAAGCATTGGTGAGGAATAATTGAAGAGGTCGGGGAGTCAGCGAGACACAAGCTGGGACATCCCCACCCTGGCTTGCCCACCGCAGAGCCATCCCACGGGAGCCGTGCTCCTCCCTGTGCCCTCAGAGCAGGCAGGATATGACCCCGCTGCCCCCCCCAGCCCAGCAGCATGTGGGATCTGTGCCCGGTCCCAGCAGGGTTAATCCTCCTACCTCCTTGATTTGCTGCAGCCTCTCCTCCAGACTGTCCATGGTTTCCTGCTCCTGCTTCAGCTTCTCCAGCCGGGAAATGAGCTCCGCAGCGAAGGCAGCCGGCTCCACCGGGGTCATCTCCTTGGGCAGCCGGTGGGTCCTCTACAAGGAGCGGGGACAGAAGGCACAAGGCATGTTTAGCGGGCGGCGCGGGGCGCGGGCGCTTAGCCGGAGCAGCATCGCCGGCCCCGCTACGCTTGTTGTGTATCCATGTTTGGATGAAAAAGACGACCGCAACTAGGCATGGTCTGCTCTGGATTTTTATGAGCTAGTGCTGTGGCCTCATGGAGTGACATCCTCCCCACCAGCGTTTGCCTTCGGCAGGAGCAGTTGGTCGCACTCTGAGGAACCCCCGCTTGTTCTCTCTGTAGTACAACCAGCCCATCAGTAGCTACTCTGAAGTAGAAAATCTTCAAAGACTGTTGTCAAACATCAAAAAAAAAAAAGAAAAAAAAAAAAAAACCTCTGAGGTGGGAGGGAGAGACTTTAACTCAAGGAATAAAGTGAGTATAAACAGAAAGGAGTTGGAAATTAAAAAAAATAAGATGGGGGAGAAAAAGGGAAAGAAAAAAAAAAAAAAGAAGTCAAACGGTTGCAGATCAGAGAAGTACTGGTAATTTATTTCCTGGCTACACACTGGGCACCTTTGAGGTAGTGTTGTCTCAACAGTGTCCTAGATCTCTTCCCCCCCCTCCATCTCTTTGTACAGAAAATGAAGAAAGCTGCTGCAGGCTAGCGGTGCTACACTGCTGAGCTTGGCTGCCTCAAGCAGATCTATCAAGGGAAAAAGGGAACATCTCCAAATCAAGTGCAGAATATAAAAAGGCAAAACGAGAATTTCTGCCAAAAGAAGCAAACATGGTAGGGAAATTGGGGGGGGGGAGAGGAAGGGAAAAAGAAAGCACCCACCTGACTCTCCCCTCCTTCCTGCCACCCCCACGCACCCCCACTCCACTCCCCTCACCCCTACTTTCACTCTTTCCTTTTTTTTTTTTTTTTTTTTTTTTTTGCTGAAAGCAGAAAGCTGAACTGCCAACTCTTTCACATACTACCCACCAGATGAGGTGGGGCCTCTCTCCGGCAACCACTTAGCTCCAGAAATGATGTGAGGGTAGAAAAAGGCCACTCTGCTGGAAATTGTCACTCTTACACAAGCTGGCTCTATTCAGTCCCTGATCAAAGCACTGCCTTACAGAGAAAGTCGATTTGCACGCCCTGGGACAAAATAATCTAATTTACAAGCTCAGGCTATAGAACTTTCTTTATGGAGGAAGGGAAAAAAAATACCAAAAAGAAAAACCACATAAACCACCCCCCTCCACCAGAAATATCATCTATGATTTCTTGCTGCTTAAGACAGCAGAAAGAGGAATTTTAGCATATTAATCTCAAGACAAGATAAGTTTATACTTGTCTGTGTAAACAGTTTATTCACTGCAGGAATCAGGAGCCTGCGAGTCAACTGAATTAGCAAGTCAGCGAGTTAATTTTCAAGAGCGAGGCAGCTCCATGAACTGGACCCCCTCAAAGCAAGGCAGCGAGAGTTCTGAAGGCACATATTTGCTGCAAATGTTTCTCTTTCGGGAGAGCCTCCTTCCTGCCAGCTGACACATGGGGTGCTTTTGAAGGATGAGGGCGATGCGCGCAAGGCAAACCCTGGTCCGTGCGGCACCAAGGAGGTGTCAAGGTGGTGCTCAGCTCCTGCACCTGCAGCCGATGCTCTGCCAGACCTCACCAGAGCATCCATGCTTGAATTTAGACCAGGAGGGCAAATTCAGTGCCATGGAAGAGCTCTAATTAGCACCTGGCTTTCAGGTGATGACCAGATGCGCCTGTGTAAGCAGGTTTCTGCAAGGATGCTGAAAGCACACGGCTCCTGCCTGATGCTGGGCAAGGTCTCTCCTGGAAAGCTCTGGCACCAGGTAAGGATGGAAACGCGCCCCTCCCCTGCTCCCGTCCCTCCACGTGTACCAACATCCCAGGGGTTTGTCCCAGGCCCTGCAGCTCCCACCTGAACTTACCGGAAAATGAGGTAGAGAAACTTGACCGTTGGCCTTAACGCTCCGATGCATCTCCCTCTGGAGCTGCTTCTTGCTCCCAATTCTGTACGGGGGGATCCCATCTCTGCACACGGAAGAGAGGTCACCATCAGCTGGGGCTCTTGGAGGCACAGCATGGCAGATCAGCCTGGCTTCCATGCCACCACCCCGGGCCCTAACCCAGCCACTTCTCCATCGGCTCTAAAATACCCTGGGCTTGCTGCAGGCCCCTGTTCCCAGCTGCCCCAAGTGCCCTGGATGTCACCTGAGGCCAGGATAAGTCACCTGGTGGCTCAGGAAGGGGCTGTGCCACCACCTGCATGGCTGAGCAGCAAGCTGAAGGCAACTCCACAAGAAGAGGCCCCAAAGATCCCATTAGCTTCACTTCTGAGGCATCTCCCTGAAAGGCCCTTCCACTGATAGGCCGAAGCTTTTGCCCTTCAGCTTTGTTGCAATTCTCACCGCCAAATTAGGCCGAGACCACAACTTTCTTCTAGCCCTAAACCACCCCATGGGACATGGGCACTATGGAAACAAGAAGAAGGAGGCTGGCGATGGATGGCCACCAAAGGGCTGCTCCCCACCTTTAGCCCTACTGAAGCTCCTGAGATGTTTCTCCTGCCCTGGGGCTGCCCAGCACCGGCTGGCCACTGCAGGGTGCAAGCAAACGCGGGCCATGCCCTTCGGCACAACGTCACTCCCCTCATGGCCAGGAAGCCACAAGAAGAGGCCAGGAGAGGAGCACGGGTGCCAACAGAGCACTGCACGGCCTGCTCGAGGCGACGCGGGGCGTTCTCATCCGGCCACGCAAAATAAAATAAAAAAATTCCCTCGGTTGGGATGAAAGGGCCTCCCGCAGACAGCGGGGACAACCAGATGAGCGTGCCTGGAAATCCTGAATGTCTGCTGCCACCCCTTCCCTCAGACTCGCGGAATAACCTTGATCTCCGGCCCAGTCCCTTTCATCCCTCTGCCCCCACACCTTACTCATCCCCAGTGCAGCTCCTGCCCAGCAGAAAGCTGTGGTGGCCGAGCAGGCAGCAGCAGCCCCGCGTGCCCAGGCCATGCTGGTGGTGCTAAGACACGTTTTGGGTGCATGGCCAGAGCCGACACACAAGGGGATGCCACCCCGGGGTGCCAGGTCCCTTGTCTGGAGGTGATGGCTAGATCCCACTGCTCCACGCTCACGGGTTGAAGCACCCTGTCTCAGGCCTTCGTGAAGAGCTCAGCTAATCCTTCAGTGGCTCTTGGAGTGACTGTTTTGATGGGCAAGACGAAGTCACAAAGCCCAGAGCGAAAGAGCAGAACAATTTCATCTTCGTGAACTTGGAAAAATCTTGATAACGAGAGCGAGCACGCTGGGAGCCCACAAGCAGTCTGTGATGCCACAAGATGATCACCAGGCTCCTGCAGACGCAGCCCGTGAGCGTGCATTGTGCTCCAAGTGAAAGGAGCTGATTGTGCCCCCTGCACAACACGGGGCTGCCTTGTGGGGAGGCAGCTGGCCGTGGCCACCAACCACAGCTGCTGGTGGCCCCCGAGTGTTTGTGCTCCGTACACGGGCACCTGACGTGCTCGTATGAGGCTGGGGGAAGGATGGGGAAGAGCAAATCTTGAGTGAAAGCCAACTGAGCTGCACCTTCAGAGAAGCATCTGTTCGCTGAGGCTTGCTGAGATAAAGGTCTCTTAGGGAAGACCTTCAGCACGGGGAATAATGAGTAAAACAGACATTTGAAAGGTAAGTCAACGCCAGCGTGAGCACATTACGTGCACCCATACAGAAAGGTCTAATCCCGTGAGCAGGCAATGGCAGAGGAGGTGTCCTCCACCAGTGGCAGCCCCAGAGGGGAGCGCAGGGGGGATGCGGAGGGTCTGTGCTCAGCACCCAAGGCCACGACCAAGGGACAAGGAGGAGCCCCTCACCTCCCTCCCTCCGGGTCTGCCAGCAGGAGATGCCATCCCCACATCCCCAGCCCTTGTACCAGGCTGGGAGCAGCTCTCCTTGTGGGGTGTCCCCGTGTTCCCTGCGCTGTGGGACCACCTCTGCCCAAAGGGTTGGTCCATGAGCTAAGGAGCAGGAGCTCCAACAGGAGCTGGCTCAAAAAGGAGGAGAAAAGCAAAGCCCTGCAGCAGCCCACTCAAGAGCGCGGCTCCTCTCTTTATTTAAGATCTGCCCTTCTTCAGGTCGGTGTGAAGGCCTCTCCTTTCCCCTAAACCTCCTCTGGTTGCACAGCGGAGCCCCAGATCAAGCCTCCTGCTCCCTGCTTTTACACCCCTGCCTTGTCAGAAGAGTTTTACAACTTGTAACGAAGTGCAGAATTAAAGGAAAAAAAAAAAAGGTATTTCACTGTGATGGGAAGGCAGTGCAGCTTGGGAAAGTCAGCCTGGAGAATGAGGAGGGACTTTTATAGCCAGTTTGATGAGTGCTTTCTAAATCTGGGCCTTCCACATGAAATGGGGGAGAACGGACAATGCCAGATTAGAAGGGCTGAACAAAATGTGGTCACCTACAGCAGGAGGGACAGGCAGGCAGAGCTGGAGCCAGGCTCAGTACAGCCAAGAGATACGGTGGGGGGCAAAACCCCGACACTGAAATGGACCCCCCAGTGAGGAGAAAGTGCCTTTAAAACAAAAAGGCTGGGCTTTGCCAGAGGTTCCAGCACAGAGCACGGGTTTAGGGTCAATGCCAAGCACGGAGGTGCTCCTCTTGGTGCAGCCTCTCCCCATGCTCCAGCAACAAACATTTGCACTCACCTTCCTGGCTACTGAAGGCTGTGGGCTGAGGAGCTACAGGGTTTAGGCACTAAATAGTAGAGTTTAATTATAAACATTTCAGCTAACCAGGCTGGGGCTAAGCCAATCTGTTTCTGGGGGAAATACTAGTTTGAAGTCTTCTACCCAGTCAGCTGCCATTTAAGCTGAGCCAATTATCTTAGCCTTTTGACTCAGATGTGCCTGACCTAACCTGAATGTAGTTTTACTGCTGCTTTGAAATATCAGACTCATGCGCATATGCATTCACTCCCATCTTCATTTGGCAACGGCTCTGAAACAAGCCTCTGATCTTGCCAACATCAAAAGCCTGGTTTGTAAGATAAGGTAATATTTGAAGTTTGCTCAGCAGCATTCCCCTGTGTCCAAAGTAAATCCATAAATAAGATATAAGCAAATAAAAAAAAATCCCCTTTCCTCTCCCCCCCCCCTCCCCAATCAAGAAATGGAAATATCCATTTGCATGATGCTTTGTGGCTATTACAAAACATAGGCACACAGGCTGATCCCTGGCATCTAACATAGAAAAAAAAAATTAAAAAAAGGCAGCTTGTGCATTACTTGGAGACCTCTCCGAAGTCCGGCACAGTTGAGGTTTTAGATATATTTTTTAAAAAACTGCCTTTGCTGTTACGTCTGACAGACTTTTCCAGAACAAGTTTTTGCTCTTCAGTCGATACCAACGTAAGCCAAAGGAACTCATTTCCATTCGCCCTGGCGGAGCAGAATAAAACCGGGTCCCCTGCTGAAGAAGTGGCAAAGCCTGGCAGCAGGAGAGCCCCCTGGCACGGCCCGCAGGAGCCATGGGGCTGGTGCCCCCACCGCACGCACGGTGCCTTCAGGAGCCGGCAGAGCCAGGTGCCAGGAACTAATCCCAAATGTTTTACTGCCACCTTGGCAGCGGCCCTCCGTCCCCGTAAAGGAAGTTTTACATCAGCCTTATGCTTCAGCCGAGCCTCAAGAAGTGCCAATTTACCTCTCCGGCTCCCAAAACACAACCACCCCGCTACCCGCCCGCCCCCAGCCCCGCAGATGGAGCGGGGACGCCCGGGGAAGTGGCTCCGCAGCAGGACCCGGGCCTTTGGCAGGGCTGCTCCCCCCCTCCAGCCGCCCCCCAACCTGGAGCTGCGGGCAGTTTAATCAGCCAAGCTTCCCCAAACTCTCACAGCCTGCACGGGCTATTGTTATGGCAGGAAAAAACAGGCAGGCTTCTTTCATGCGCTGCTTTATGGGGAGCTCCTATTCACTTGTTCAAGGAAATTTCAAAGCGGGCTGCTACCCTCTTATCCCCGCTAAGCTCCCCTGGACTAACAATGGGCTGAAAGCGATTCAGTTAAGCCTTTCATCCACCATGCACTTTATTTCTCACTCAGTGCTCTCATCTGTATAAGGCCTACAATTGGCATTGCTGTGAAGAGAGGGTATAATCCTAGCCCTGTGAATCCCAAGTGACCCTACACTGGTCCAGAAATGACTAACCCAATGAATGCTCTGTTGACACATGATCACATACAACCAGAGCCAGTAAGAAGAAATAAAGAAGTCACCCTATGATTCAGCTCTTTTATTTAATGCCAATATTGTTCAATAAGGGAATCTAGTGGGACAACAAACTATTTTTTTCCATAATATCAGTTCAAAACACACTTGTGCATTAAAAAAAAAAAAAAAAAGAAAGAAAAAAGCTTTTGTTTACGCATCAAGGATTTTTGGTAAATCCTGTTTTCCATTGTGCAGCATCATGCAGCACTGCTGACTTAAAAAACCCAGAATGCAAATCGCCCCGAGGAGAGCACGGGAATCGCTGGCCACAAGTGACAGAGGCACTGGGGAAGTTTCACTGGTGAGAGCAGAGCGCAGCGCTGTTATCTGACAGGTTGGTTTTTCTAGAGGACTCGTACTTAAGTGAAGATCATGAAACACAAACGGAAGCATCTGCCTTCTATCCAGTTGAAGAAAACGGTCCTTAAGAGCACGATGCGAGCCCTGCTGTCTCTTCTACCCCCAGACACAAAAGCCCCATTTCTCTCCTGCTGGGGAAGGCAAACTGGGGAAGAACAGTCGCACACCGCACTCCCAGCTGCACGCTTCTCAGCAGAGTCAGGAGGAAAGCACAGATCCTGCAGTTCCTGGGCTCAGCCACAAAACCACCTCTCATCCCTACCCTCCGAACACACTCAGCCCTGCTCCACGCAGCTCCATTCAAATGGCCCTTTGAAGACTGCCCCAGCCACACTAGATGAGCAGCTATTTGCCCCTTCAGGTCACTGGCCCTATTAATGTACATTCTGCCATTACCAATGAACCTTAATTACAGCAAGTACTTCCTACAGGAAGCAATCTCCTTCTCTTTGATGACTGATAGCTAGTTAAGGAAGCCTGGCCTTAAGACAGAAGGCACAGGGAGATGCCCTCCTGGGTTAGTCAGGCAGCACTACCAGCACAGGGAAAAACACATTTGCTCAGCTGCAGCTGCACAAAGCCAACAGAGGGTTCACCACCTCACTCCATCCAACACCTATGGCGACAGCACGAAGCACGAGGCTGCCAGGCCTTGCTACGCCCCCCAGTTTGGCAGGACCCTCACTCCCACCAGTCCCCACCACGTTATCAGCACGGATTTACGGATGGCACGTCCCAAAGGGCCCGAGCAGGACGGGATACTCACACGCTGCTGTCCGTCATCGACATGGAGTCGTCCGTCAGGGCATCACTGGATATTTCGCTGTCGTTTGCGCTCGTTGCGGGGGCAAAGACATAGCCGGAATTCACATGGTAGGGGTTAACGGGGTCGTTCCTCTTGAAGGACCTAGGGATGAGCAAAACAGGAGTCCAGTTACCAGTTGGGCTTGTGCTGGAGGACAACACACAGGTTTAAGGGCAGCACTCTCCTTTTGGGAACCATGGACCAGCTGCTCAGGCTCTTGGGGAGCAACCAGCCACCCCCTGCCTGGGCAGCGCCTAAGAGCATCCAAAGACCAACCTTAAAGATGTTGCTTTTGGCGTTGGACATGCAGTTTAGAAAATCCCATGAAGCACTCTGGCAAAAAATGAAATCCCCTGGGCGCTCTGACACCTTCAGAGAGTCACTCCTTAGAGCTTGGCGCTGCTCTGCTGTTGGCTTCAGCAAGCACAAGATCAAGAAGTTCAGAGCTCAGGTCCCACTGCACTCTGCTGAGGGGCCAGCTAATAAATGCTTCAGTCTGCACTGAATGCAGGAGTTAGGGGTCCTGTGGGAGAACCCGTTGTGGTATCTGTGTGGCCTGCAACAGAACTGCCCAGAACTGCTGGGGCAGGACCACCGTGTGTCACAGCGAGCTTGGCCACGGCCACCATCCATTGCCTCCACCTTGGCCTCCCAGAGGGCTGCCATCTTCCCCGCACTATAAAGAGCCCCAATTTAAGGAGAATCAACTAATTCCTAGGTTTGGGGTTTATTATGCTTAGGGTTGGGTGAGGGGAGAGGAGGATGGGAGGCAGGACCAGCACGGCATGCTGTGGGTGGTGCTTTGAAGGGGAAGGTGGCAGCAGCTTGAATTAATGATTACTAACACCAACACCGACACCACGGGCTTGGCAAACCCAAAGCCCCAGCGGGGTGTTAGAGCTGAGCACCCACGAGCAGACACGAGGAATTCAAGGTGATGGCACGGCGGTGGCACCAGCGGTGTCACCCTGTGGGGGAAAACGGGCGTCCCTGTGCCCGCTGGGGGCCACCTCCAGTGCCCCCAAGGTCCCAGCCAGGATCAATAGGATCATCTTGGGCAGGCGATAAGGGGATTAGGCAGGGAGCTTCTGAAGCTGCGTGTTAAGGTGCACATTTTGTTCCTCTGCGAGGGAAGATGGGGCTGTTAAGCTTCCGCCTTTGTATATCAAAGCAAAGGGCCTTGTCATCTGATAAGGACTGCTGATTTTAATAATTAGGGCCACTTACCCAGGACTTGGGGGCCTAAGGAATGTGCCAGCAGGCTCGGCAGGTTTTTTAATGGGCTTTCAAGCTCCCCACCCCCACGGCGGGGCGGGATGCAAGTGAGCAGCAGAGCGGCCCTAATGGGGAGCAGCAGAGCCCTCCTGCCGCTACCCACCCCATCGCCACCCACCCCATCACCATCCCACTCGCCTGGGCTTTGCTCCACTCTCACAAACATCCAGCCTGCCCCACCGGGAGAACAGGAGCTTTTACAAAGGCTGAGGTTAAAAAAAAATAATGAAAAAGGCAAAAAAAAAAAAAAAAAAGGAGAGGGAAGCATGGGGGAGCTGATGGGCCTCTCTGGTATGAGGCGCGGGGCTGGGGCTGCTCGCAGGTATTCAGCCCAGCCGGGGCTGCATTCCTTTCCGAGGGAGGCCAAGACGTTTCTGATGAGGAGATCAAGATGTTAAAAAATATATAGCCAAAAAAAAAAAAACACAAAAAAACACCAAAAAATGAGATAGCGAGGAATGCCACAGGAAAGAAGTTAAATCTTCAAAGATAAATTAATTCCACATGTGGGCGAAAGACTAAGTTATCCCACTACTGCTCCAGAAAAGTTCCTCTAGAAACGTGCAGCCTTCTGCTCGGCGTCAGGGGGATGTGGAGTCCCCGTGACACCACCCAGGTCCTCGGGGGGCTGCTGGGCTGACTGCACGGGATGCAGCTCATCATGGCTTTGACTTGAAACCAGCTCTGGTATAAGGAGAGCATCCGAGGACCATGGGGCTCGGTGGAGAGGATGCTCCATGGGATTTGGTGGAGAGGATGCTCCGTGGGGCTCGGTGGAGCAGGATGGTCCCCAGCCCAGGAGCACTGCCATGCCCAGAGGGGTCTGGTTTCCCCCCAGCTGTGCTGCCATGCTGTGCTCTCCCCGTGGATGCGATTGCTGGAGAAGCTGCGGTGGGGGCGGAGGCAGTGGCTCCGTATGAACACGGCACAGGGCGAGGAGGTGTGTCCAAACGCAGCGTTTGGGAAGATATAATTAGAGAAAGTGGCCAGAACTAACTCATCTTCCCAGGCAGCACCGGGCTGCAGCACTGCTTCACCTCCCAAAACCCCAGACACAAAAGCCCCCAAAGTTTACGATTTTTTTTTTAAAACAGGCCCTTCGCCACAGCACCCTCCAGAAACCCCCACGTACTTTACACAAAGCAGCCCCCGCCGGTTTGCTCAGTTTAATTTTTATTTTAATTCGACCACCTTACTCCAGTAATTGCACCCAGATGCACCGAGCTGCCTGCGAGGGGTTTAAATTCCAGGGGAGAGCGGTGGGCTCCTGCTGCAGATGCTGCAGCCCAGGCACCCCCACACACCCCCTAGAGCCTCCAAACCCCGCGTGCAAAGTGTTTTCAGCTGTCAGGGAGCAGTTGCTCTGTAGTTTCGAGAAGGCAGCCTGATGTTTCCCCCACTGTCCTTATCCTGATGCTCGGGCAGCTCCGTGCTCTGCGTTGGGCCAGGGGCACATCAGAGGTGGTGCACGGCCCTGAGAATTTCAGGGGCTCTTGGTCCTACCCCCTGTTAGAGGGTGCAGTTGCAGAGAGTGTTTTGTTTTGGTTTTTTAATCACCAAACTCTACTTCCTCCAAATGAAAGCGCTCTGGCAGTTCAAACCCCAGGTTTACACAGAGAGAAGTGAAAATCTACAAGGAGCGTTTTGAGGCAAAACTGAATCTCATTAAGCGTTTCCTTGGGACAAACATCACCGGGCAATCACAGGTTTAAAGGCAAAAAAAAAAAGGAAAAAAAAAAAAGGCCTGCACAAACGTGAAAAAAAAAGTATTTTAACAAAACTATGTTAATCACAGCTTCCATGCTCTAATTGTAGAACACTGCTCGGAGCATAGCTTTACAATGGCATCATTTACTTTGATAATTGAAGCCAAACTCGGTTCCAATAACTTCACACAAAACGAGCTCCACCGGCGGGTTCTTTCAAAGGCCAGGAAGCCCTCGGAGCCGGCAGAAGGCCATCTGCAAGCCCCAGCCTTCCCCGAGCAAGGCCAGCCCCACTGATGTTAGAGCCCAGAGCTTAATGGGAGGCAGATGAGTCCACCTTGGCCTGAACAAAAACACCCTGTGCGGCGGCGCTGCAAAGGAAGGAGCCCGGCTCTGTGTACACAAACCCGTGCATGATAAATTTAGAAGCGCGTATAAATAATAGCTGGAATTCCTGGACAATGGGGCCAGGTCCAACGCTCTCGGCGGCGCGGGGAGGCCGCTTTTAACCTCACCGCAACGCGCAGGGGAGGGCAGGCGCTCTAAAGGACGAGAGCTCTCTAAGTGGAGAATATTTCCTGTGTTAGGGCTCCAGATACATCAGGCAGCGATTCGCATGCACGTGTTGTCACTTCACTTCTCTTCCTGGCCGGTGCTGGTGCTGGGGCCAAAGTCTTGCAGCTCGCCCGGTTTCTGTGGTCTCCAGCTTGCCATGCTTTTGGCCTGTGACTCCGTGCCCTGGGCTTTCCAGGTGGTCTCCCATCCAAACGCTGGGCTGGCCCCAGATTGCTCAGCTCCTGGGATCAGGTGCACTCAGCCCGGCTTCTGCTGCTCTGGTCACACCGAAACCCACTGATGGAAGTGGGAAGAGCCTGCACAGCACTTGCAGAACGTAACACGCTGGGGAGGAGAGCAGGAATCCTTCAATTCCATCGCACACACTAGGAGGGAGGTGTGGTTTGGCCGCTCACCAGGAAAGCCTATGTGTAAGCTTCAGCTCCAATCCTAAATGCAATCCTAAATGCTGAGCGATGAGAGATAGCCCGTCCATATGCTCATCAGCTCCTAGCACATGCACGCACAAGTGGCTTCACAAACGGACAGCTCGGGGAGGGACCCAGAAGCATCTCAGCTTGACCTCCCTCTCTTTGCATTGAGATCTCCTGGCCCCATGGAGAGCAAACGCTCCTGGAAACTCAACAGAAGGTGATCAAAGCCAAAGGCACCACCTCGTGTCCTGGGAGGGTAGATCTGATGCGTGAGGAGCAAGCTGCACTAATCCTCGGTCAAAAAGAAAAGGGATAAAAGACAAGGGGAGAAAAAAAAAACCACATTGGGCAAGGTGCCACAGTTGTGCGAGAGCTCTCACGGACAAGGAGCATGTGGGTTTTCAGCAGGGCCTGCAGCACTGCTAGAACATTACAGCCAAGCCCTTCCAGCTCCAAACACCAACAAAGGCTGCAAGATAAAAGCATCCAACATCCCCCTCCTGGAAAGCAGGCGGAGGGGCAGCAGTTCAAACCAGGTTCTGCAGAGCAGCAGCTGCTCAGGCAGCGACACGGCGAGGCACGAGACGAGGATCCCCCCAAAAACCCCACGTCCCCCACACGCCAGCTGCCAAGCGGCGCCTCCACCCCGCGCCGGCTCCCAGCAGGAGAGCCCCCGAGGCCACGGCCCTCCTGTCCCACACCCACGCTGCCGGCTGTCACCCCTCCAGCAGAGGGGAAGGACCAAAACCGCCCCGTTCAGCCCCACAGCATCGCCCCTGCAGCCCGGAGGAGCCCTCCCAGCTCCTGCTGGGGCAGGAGGAGGCTCGGGCTCGCAGCCCCGCACCAGGAAGCCCTGCACAGCTGGAAGCTCTCTGCAGGGCAGGAGGAGAGAGCACTCCAGCACAGCCTCCCCTGCGAGGCAGAGCGCAGCCCAAAGCAGCCCGCTGCCCTTTGATGTCCATGAATCACAGACACGCTCTCAAAATTCCTGTAAACGAGATGTCAAACACTTACCCTAGCAAAACCCAAACTCCTCGTCCAGCAGACAGGAGCGCACATCTGCCAGCAGAGCCCTCTCCTCTCAACCCTGATTCAACAAGCCACATTTATGGTAAGGGTGGGGAGAGGAAAGAATACATTTTCAGAGGATTATACAACTCATCATTTGCTCATCAGAGTCTCTCTTCCCCATCCCCCTTCTCTCGGAGAGGGCTCTGGCTCTCCTCACCCTCATCTCCTCACCTCATCATCGTTTCTTTTGCTTCCAACAAAAGGAAGGGGTCGGGGTGGCAGACGTGCCCCTACCGAGGGCACCAGACTGTGCCATCCCATAACCCTCTCCATCCTCTCCAGCTGCCATTAGGCACAACCACGTCTCGCAAGTTCAGCTCTGAGTACACAGCCAAGAGGAGAGCACCAAAGACCTGCTCTTACTCCACACCTGGGATGTCTGCGCTACCTTCAGCTCTCCAAATTAAGTATCCCTCTGTATACGTTGGCTCGAAGCCACCCTAAATGGCTTTGACACGATACCAACCGCGAACGCGCCGAGAGAGGCTGCCTATCACACAAACACCGCCAAAATAAAAGAAGATTTTCTGCAAGTTGCATAGTTTGATGTAGTAAGTGCATACATTTCCTGCTCCACGACCGCACAATTGCTTCCCACATAACCAACGTAGTTAAACGCTGGCTGATGGTGAAGTTGGTGGACGAGTAGGTTACATTATTCATGTGTCTATGTGATCCTCTCTACTCCTGCGCTTAATAGGTTTGAAAGTTGAACCAATAATTAACGTATGTCCGGAGGACATAGTTGCTATGAAGTTTTTGATCTATAAGAGAACTGAGAGAGCCAACAGAGCTCAAGAGCACAGTATCTTGTTTTCCCTCTGCAGAGAGGGGGAAAAAAATAAAAAAAGGAAAAGCCAACGCCCCCCAAATTCCACAGCACTCGGAGGTGCGTGAAGCACCGTGTCCCCTGCGAGCCCAGCCTTCCCCGGCCTCGCTGCTCGCCACCCACCAGCCTCTCCAAAAGCAGCCTCAAAGTCCTCAAAGTTCACCCAGAGCACGAGTCCCACGGCTTCCCTTACCTGTAGCCGCTCTCGATGGTTTCCGTAGCTCTGACGTTCGCTGTAACCCTCAACGTCTTGCTGGATAGTCCAACCACCGAAGGCAGGATTTTGTTTTTAAAGTCTGCACAGCTCCATTCCTCTTCTTCATTCAAGGTCGGGAGATAGCCACAGACAACTTTTAAGCTCCCCAGTCCGTTGCTGTTGATGTAAGCAGGATTCTCTCCTCCACTCCTTACATATTCGAGGTATATATCAGAAGTTAAAAACATCTGGTAAGCATTTTCCTCCATCACAGTCTGAATCTCAGTCTGTGCCTGATCAAACATTATAGAATCTATCTGCTGCTTCTTGATGCTATCCCTTATGTAGGTCTTGGTAGCAGGCTTGAGCTGCTTGGAGACAATGCTGTTGTTCTCGATGTACCTTTTGTATATAGCTTTGGCTACTCTTAAAGTTTTGGTATCCTTAAGGTCCATCTGCCTGAAGCCATTGCAGGCAAACCAGAAGTCTAAGGTATCCACGCATTTTTCCCTTTCCAAGAAGGTCCGAAAAAGATAGGCACCATCTTGATCTCCCAACAAGGAATGCAAGGATTTGGTCCATCTGGCCAGAGGGGAGTCTGGAGACGCGCTGCCTTCCGGCTCCCCGAGCCCGTTCTCATTCCTCCTCGGGGCAGGAGGCACCGGCATGGCCTTGAAGCTTTGGCTTTTCCCGAGGAAGGAGCTGGGGGGCTGCGGGCATGGTGCCTCTCCTTCCTCCCCCGGGACAGGGGGCCGGGGGGCGTCTTCCCTGAAGCTGCTGCTGGGGTCTGGGAGGTGGGCGAGGACCACGGCGCTGCTCATGGCTCCGGAGCCCGGCGGGGAGAGGGGCGAGGAGATCCTGCAGGAGCCGCCTGCGCCTCCGCCTGCCTCTCGCTCAAGTCAGCAGGGGATCCTCTGAGCCTCCTCTCTGCAAAGGGAAAAAGGGAAAAAAAAAAAAAAAGGAGAGAGAGAGAGGGGAGGGGGGGGGGGAGTGAGGGGGGGGGGAAGAGAGAAAAAAGGAGTATTGATCTAATCAAAACCAGATCCTCCCAACATCAAAGACAAAAAGTAAACAGGCTTTTCAACTCTTCAAAAAAAAAAAAAAAAAAAAAAAAAAAAAGAAAGAGAGAGAGAGGGGAGGGGGGGGGAGAAAGGAAGGGGAGCGGGAGCGCGGCTCCATGGCAGCCCGGTGGCGAGCACCAGCCCCGCTCCAAGCAACTCCCGGAGCACTTTTAGGGGGCCGGGGGGGCACCGAGACCCCCCCCCCAACCCGGAGGGGCCTCGGGGGGCGCTGCCCCATCGGCTGCTGCCCATCGGGGCCCCCCCAGCACCCTCCGGACCCCCCCTCCCGGCTGGGGCAGCGCTCGCCCCATTTCGGGGTACCCCCCTCCCGTTTGGGGGCTTTTTGGGGCGCTTCGCGTGAAATCCGGGAGCGGGGCACGGGCAGCCGGACACCACCCACTCCTCCACCCCCAAAAAAATTTAAAAAATAAAAAATAAGATGGATAAGGGGGAAGAGAGGGGGGGGGCGGCAGGCGTACCTGGGCGCAGGGGGCAGCCCGGGCTCTCTGCGGGCAATAAATGGAAATGAAAGGGAAGGGGTCGCGGGGGGGGGGGGGGGGGAGGACCGGGGGGGTGAAACCTCGCTGCCCGGCGTTGCACGAAGCCCAGGCTCGATCCCGACAGAGGAAAAAAAAAGCCCTGCTCCCTGGAAAAAAAAAAAAAAAAAAAAAAAAAAAAAACCTGCTCCAGAAATGGCGACGGGCTGGGAGGAGGGAGCTGGGCACCGCGCAAAGGGGGGGGGGGGAAAGTCCGGCACTCTGCGGCTCCCCCCGCAGCCCCCCGAGCGGGGCCGGGAGGGATAAATTCCCGAAATCAAGGCAGAAACAAAACCCCCAGAAATAAAATAAAATAAAACCGTCAGAAGGGAGCGAAATGGATGGGGGGGGGGGAAGCGGCCGGGGGGGGGGGGTGCGCGCCCCCCGAAGTTGCCACTCACCGCGCAGCCGGAGCTCGCTGCGCGCCCGGCTCTGTCCGGCTGTCCGTCTGTCCCACCGGCCTTCCTCCTCCTCCTCCTCCTCCTCCTCCTCCTCCTCTGCTCCCCGGCGGTGCAACCGCATCGGAGAGCATCGGGGGATGGGGATGGGGGGGGGGGGGGAAGGTGGGAAAAGGGAGCCCGGAGAGGAGGGGGGGGGGGGGGGCTCTGCGAGGGAAGGAGCCCCCTGCGATCCGCGCCTCCCTCCTCTCCCTCCCTCCCTCCCTCCCCTGGCTGCTTTATTTTATTTATTTTAAATACAAAAGCGCTGGCCCCTCCCCCGCCTCCTCCCCCTCCCTCCCTCTCCCCGCCCCCCCCCTCCCCTCCCTTATCCCCCCCCCCCCCCCCCCCCGGGCTCTCCCCGCATCAAAGCGGGGGCCGCCGGAGCGGTCCTGCAAGGGCGGTAGCGAAAGCGGCGTTTTGAGGCCAAAAAGCGGGGCAAAAAAGCAAAAGCCCTACAAAAAAAAATCACCGGGAGTGCAAAGCAGAAGCAGAAGGAGCCCCCCCCTCAAAAAAAAAAAAAAAAACATAAAAAAACACCGCTCGGTGCTCCTGCCTGCGGGCATCCCCGGGGCAGGGAGCCTGCTAAGGGGGGGCTGGTTTTGTTTTTGGGGTAGGAAGAGAAAATATTTCAATAGGGGGGATAAAATAAAGCCCCCACCCCTCGCTCCCGGCATCCCGGGGCGGTTACGGAGTTGCCAGGACCTTATCAAAGGGAAGCGATCGGCAGCCGCCGCCCCCGGGCGGGGGCACCGCGGCACCGCCGCCCCCAGCCTTAAAGGCGCAGGAGGGGCCCCCCCGCGCCCCTTTAATCCCCCCCATGCTCCCCATATCTCCCCCATATCCCCCCCATATCCCCCATACCCCCTCATGCCCCCATGCCCTGGCCAGCCGCAGCGCTGCAGGCTGGGGGGGGCACTCTCAGCCGGGCAAACTCACCGAAAAGTTTTCCTCCCGGGGAGAAAATGCCCCCCCCCCCCCCCTATTTTTTTTTCCCTTTTTTAATATTTCTTTAATAAACAATCCGAAGGCATCAGCCTGCTAACTGAACGGTGGCTGCTTGCGGATCCCCTTGGCACATCGGCACAGCTCCTTTCTGCCGTCGTGTTCGTGTCCCCCCCCCCCATCCCCCATCCCGCCCCCCCCCCATCTGTTAAATATTAAGCAGGCACGGAACGGCTCGGAGGGGGCTGGCTCCGTGCGAGAGGTTTTCATTAGGGTTTGGCCCCCAAACCTGTCCTCCAGATCCAAGGCTCCTGCTGCCCTCCACCCGGCCCCGCTCCTGGGGGGGCTCCGAGGGTCCCCAAAGGGCTAAACTCTCTGCCCCCCCATCCTGCTGCCCCCCTTCTGATCCTCAGCCCCATTTCTGTGGTGCTGGAAGGCTGCAAACAGCCCCCCTGCAGCGCCTGGCACCCCACAAGCCCATAGTCCAGGGGCACCCCATATCCAGGCTGGCCTCAGCACCCCCCTTCTGATAGGGGAAAAGCTCCATAAAATGAGCCCCATGGGGCTGGGAAGGTGGGGGGGCAGCTGGGCAGTGCAGGGCGGGCAGTGCAAGTGGGGATGCCTCTAGGAAAATAAATAAATACATAAAATAAAAAGGCACCTTCTGGATTTGGTGTGCCCGAGCATCATTTATGGTGTGCCCTGGGCAAAAGCACGCGCACGGTGCTCACATCTCCATCCCCAGCAGCTGGCACAGCGGGGAGACAAACCCCAGCTCTGGCCCCAGGGGCTGAGGGTGACCCTAGGATGGAAATCAGAGAGTCACGGCCATAAAACTCCCTGCCCACCCAAGCCACCTTCTCGTTGTACACCGCTGAAAGCACAGCTCCTTCACAGCACCCCTAAATGAGGCACTGGTCCCCACCAGGAGCTCGACAGCTCTCCCTAAACTCTTGGCCCCACCAGTGGCACCATAATCCCAAACCGAGCAGCAAGGAGGCCACGAGTCCTGGTAGCCCTGATGTGGCATCCTCCAAAGCTTCGATCCCACCAGCTCTGGGATGGCCGAGTGCATCCGGGAGTTACGAGCAGCGAGGAGCTGACCCCGTGCACATTAACAGGTTCCTGGCCTGTGCAGCCCGGGCTAATAATACGAAGTAACACGGCGCTGGTTGGTTGTTGCTGCCCCATTACACATTTTTCAGGCCTGGGAACGTCTGCCACTGGGCAGGGAAAGCAAACTTTCTGCCAAAGCTACGAGTCCTCTAATGGCGAGCAGTAAAAGCCGTTCATGGGCCCAGCACGCAGCTAGGAGTTATTAGGGTTACTGATATTTTTACTGCCGCGGTGCCAGATGCTACCGAGCCACACTAAAGGATCCCTTCCTGGGACAACATGCAGCCTGTGTCCCCCTAGCCCCTCGTGATGGGGGTGTGAGACCTCCTCTAGCCCAGGAGAGACCACCGCCAGCCGCCAGGAGAGGTCTGAGCTCTGCCTGCTGCTGTGTCCCGAACTGGCTTCGTTGGCATTAAAAACTCCCTGTCCCATTTACCACCATAGTACTGAAAAATGAAGCCATTGCAACAGAAGCTGGAAACCTTGAACTTTTCCACTTTGAAACAAAATCTCTCCCAGCATCATGTCATTACACCTCAGGTCGGCATCAAAGCGTCATTCATCCAACCCCTTTTCCCCAAGCCCCACCGCGCCGTAGCACTGCCCTCAGCCACGCGCTGCACCCAGCCATAGAGCAGCTCAGGTTCCTAAATTTACTGCATTATTCGGGGTCACGCATGCACCAGCACGGCCCACCCGAAGAACAGCCCACTGTCCTGCCCCGACACCGCAGGTGGATGCTTTGGGAACAAAATTAGAGGAGGGCGAGCCCCTGGGGCCGTGGCTTTGTGTGCAGTGCCCGCGGAGCAGCCCAGTCCTCCCAGCGCCGCAGTGGCCCCATTCATTTGCTGCACGTCCAGTCGGGGAGCCTGTTTTCTCATCCTGCCAACGGGGAAGAGTCACGCAGTGCCTGGGGTTTGAAAGTAATCTGATGAACTAGGCAGGCGGTGGCAGGTACAAGAAGGTCCTCCACGGTTTTCTTCATCTTTATCAGTTTCTGGAAGTCCTTGTTCGCAGATCTACAGGGAATCTCTGTGCTCAGGTAGCAGCTGCAGTCATCAAGAAAGCAGAGTATCTTTGAATTTTCTTCTGATTTTCCAGTCTAAACTTGAATCTGAATTCCCAGGCTGAACAGCAGGAAAATTAACTATTTATATTTTATTTGTTAGCTCTTTTTTATTTTAGATATAAATTCAGTAAATGCATGAAAAAAATGACAGCAAAAAGCTCTGTAAGGTAGCATCACCCAGCCGAGCTAATGCCCTCGTGGTGCCACCGCAAAGGCCAGCCACATCCTCGCCTTGCTGGATGCTGCTACAGATCACACTCACAGCCAGAGAAAGAAGCTTGAAGTCACATCATGGCACCAAAAAGGAATAGTTTTAGATGAAAAGAAGAATCCGTGTGCAGTGAAGCTCCATAATAAAGAGAAGTGAATTTTTCTTTTTTTTGTGTGTGTGTGTCTGAGAGAGCTTTTTTGGAGCAGGTGGTGAAAAACAAACCACTGGAGGAAAGAAAAAAAGCAGTGGGAGCCCTTAAGGAGCCGAAGAGCTCCCGGTGCAGCGCAGCACTGTCCTGCCTGCCCCCAGGCAGCTCGGTGCCTCCGCTGCCTCTCCTGCCCACGAGGCCGTTCCCTGCAGGTGTCCTGCTCCACGGGAGGTGTCTCCAGGCCTGTGTCTGCCTGCAGAAAACGAGGTCAAACGCCAGCGATGGCGAGGCTCTGAAGGTGACACCGGGGCTGTGCTGTTCAGCTCTCCTGGCTACAGTTATTTATGGGTACGCCCGAGCCGAGGGACCTACACCTTGCCAGTTCTTAAACGTTCACCTTCAAACAGTCCTCTCGGTGCTGGCACGTCCAAAGGCGATGCTGCTGTCCCCTCCGGCCTTGTCACATCACTCATTCGGTTTGGAGCAAGCCTCGCTGACAGCCTCCACCCACCAGGGACCACTGCATCCATCGGGTGCCTCCTGCCACGTGTGTGCCCAGGGGAGGAGAGGTGCCAAGTGTCCTTGGTGCTTTGTGCAAGCGTTGGATGCTCGCCGGGGGGGCTCACTTCTTGTAGGCGAGTTGTGCTGCTCCACTGCTCCATCCAGCCACGTCAGGTGCTTGGCCAGCTCCAGGGCCAGCTCTGACGGCTGATTGCTCTCCTATAAGTTGAAATTCTAGTGATATGGGGAGCATAACCAAATCTAACAGCCTGGTAAATAGCAAGAATAGTGATGCCTACGTCTTACATTGCACTTTTCCTGGACTGCAAGTCCCGTACCACAGATCAAAGTCGGTGCCCATCACCGCACACACCGGGAGACCCCAAGGACAGGGCAGCGCCCTCCCCGTGCCCATCCCCAAACCAGCAACAAAGCCACAAAACGCCACCAAGCCCTGGCCAGCCCCAGCCACTTTGGCACCAACAGTCCAGAGGCGAGCCAGCAGCAACACCGACCCCACTGCTGCGAAATGCAGGGCAGCGGCGTGGCGGGGGGCTCGGCACAGCCTGAGGGGACCCACGCAGCAGCACGGCCCAAATCCCAACGTGGCATTAGTCAGAGGCTGACGTCACGGGCGCTGTCATATGCTCAGCAAGCTGCGGCGTTCTTGCTGGTGGTCATGTTGATAACGAGATCAAAGGCTCGCGAGTATTTCAACAGAAGTGCTGGGAACAGTTTTGATCAAAATAAGAGGAAGGCCCTGTATACAGGCGACATGAGAGGTTTGCAACCCACATGTGAACCTTTGAAGTTATTCTTTTTTTATTATTATTATTTTATTTTTTATAAACTAGTTTAACATCATTAGTTTAAGAGGTATAAAACCGATCGGCTGTATAATCTCCCCGCATAGTGCAAGCACAGAGCATTACCCACAGGCAGGCACTCTTTGGCGGTGGAGAAGAAAGCCCTGCCAGAGACACTCAAAAATAAGACAAGAAAACACACAATTAGTTTTATGGGATTTGAAGTTCATTTCAGAAATCGGCATACTTTTGTTACCAAGTATTGCCAGATAAGTCTGATACATTTTCTCTGCCTATAATCCTTTTAACATTTCCATTCCCCCCTACAGACT